ACTCTTTCCACTAGTATGCTTTAAGGTATATGCTTTATACAGCAGAAAAAGTCTGTGTAATTTTCTGAATTCAGTGACACTCTTGTTGACCGAACTGGAAACTTAGCAATTTCATTTTGAATTTTAAAATGAATTTTTAAGCATACATAAGATCACTCTTGAGGTTAGCATTCTTCTGCCTTTATACTAGCGTTAGTTATTTATAAAGTGACCAGTAAAGCAACTCTTTCACATACAGTATTTTGGGAATACACTGTTAAAAGCTAAGCATGATGGAGTGGAAAATAACAGGTACTGACAGAGACAAAATCCTGTTGAGGCTGGTGGCAACCAGGGGAGGTCACAGCGTCTGCCCAGAGCAGGCTCAGCCATGGGCTCAGACCGAGCTGTTCAAGGCTTCACCCAGTTGGAACATCAAACCCCCAGGGATGGAGACCGAGATCCACCAGTGGGTTGTCGTCATGGGGAAAAGGCTTCTCCTTATCTCCAGCCTAAGCCTCTCTATTTCAGCTTGTGCCACTGCCTCTCACTCTCCTGACATACACCGAAAAGCCTGGCTGAGTCTCCTCTGTCCCCTCCTATCGGTGCTGAGGATGGTGTTAAGAATGGTTTCATTCCCTTGCTCTCCAGTCTTTAAACCACAACATATGTGTTAATTTCCCTCACCCTTGTCTACGTCAGTTTTGCTTGAATTCAGAACTGTATCAGCATAAAGCAAACACTGAATTTGTGAAAAAGAAATAATCATAAATCGACATGAACTTATGTTTGGTTGTAGGTAAGCCAGGCTGTACAGACAAATCAGAGGCTATTGACTTCTGTTAACTCAGAAGTGCAGTTCCCTTTGTGCTGTCTTCCTGAAGACATGCTGTGATGAGCTGCTTCAGGGTAGTATGAGGCATAGGGGAAGGAATGTTCATCCCAAGTCTCTTCAAAGAGGCATGCCAAATGTGGGAGATGTGTATTTGAGCTGTGCTGCTGCTGTTGCCTTCCTAGTGTGACCAAAGGAGCAGGGTAAGTGAGGTGAAGCAGGAGTGGAGGGAGTGTACCCTCCCGCATTTCACCACCCTGATTACAACTAGTGGTGTAACTGTCTTCATAGGCAGCTCACAGGAATATACAAATTTGGGTCATGGTGGGATCTGTCAGTGCACCTCTTCTAGGTGTGATATTCTACACTTCAGTTAAATTGCTACCTAAGCTGCTCGCAGTCTCACTAGACTTTTTGCTTTGTGCCTTGAATCAGTTCGGAAACTGGTTTGAGCTCTAGCACAAGTTCAGTGCCTTTGTGTGGTAGTTTTTAGCAGCATTTGCTCAGAAATTACTCTCTGGAAGAAATGTCCAGTCAGGCAAACAAAGAAAATGCTACCTGGCGCATAGTGCAGTATTTGTGGTATGTGTTGACTGCAGAAATTGCACTCTTAATGCAGTTTTGTGTGTGACTTGGTGAGCAAATTAAGTGATAGCAAACTTCTCCCTTCAGCTGCATTTGGAATTAAACAAAGAAATTCATTACCATTTTAAAAAAATCATTAACGTTTAAATTCTACAACCATCCCTCTCAAACTGCACCCAAACTGTCTTTCATCCAACTTTTGGTTTGCAAGTGACAGAGGAAGATCTCTACTGTTAAAACTCACTTAACATAAACAAGTGCATCTGTCTGGAATAAACTGTGTGGGAGGAATATTGGGGAGTGGAGCTGCTCACTACACTTTGGAAACTTTGCTCTGGACACTGCTGAAGTCAAGTATAATAAACACATGACTTTAGTCTCCAGAAAAAAAATAAATTGGAAACAAGAAATTAATCTTTATACCTTAGATCTAATAGTAACACTGAGTAAAAGGCAGACAAGAAATGAACTTTGAAGTGAAAACTAAAGATCAGTAAAAAAATAACTTTGTGGTAGGTACAATGTGACTGTAGAAGAAATTAATTGAAAACTAGAAGTTTGTTTTTGATTTTGTTTTTTATTCATTGAATACAATGGCAGCACTCAGAGTAAAAGGAAGAGATGAGTTTTGAAATCAGAGCTAAAGTTAAAATATCCTTGTTTGTGGCTGCAGAAGAAATTAATTTAAAACCTAAAGAATTATTTGCCACCAAATTCCAGAGCATTAACTGTTTTGACTTCATCTCTCTTGCTCTGGAGTAACTTAATGGAGAGAAAGTAGGTTTTAAGACATCCAGGGCCCAAGCTGTTCTGCTTTGGTGATCTGTAGCCTTATATTCCAAAGTCTGCATTTCAGGTTGCAGTGCTTTATGAACAAGAATGGGTGCAACTGCCCCTGTACAGCAGTTTCTAAGGTCAGATTTTGCAGGGAGGTGGGGGAGGGTTAAAAATGATCTGCTCCCCTCAACTAGGAAGGTTGATGACCAATTCCTGCCAGGCCTGTTTGTCTGAGCAGGCCTATCTTTGCATCATCTTAGCCAGCCTACTGACTGACGGTCTTTCTGCATCCTCAGGTATTGACATATTTTGTAAATCCCTTTGGCAGATGCTGGGTAGCATTATTCATTGACTGCTAGGAACAGGTTGACAGAATGTGATTTTTGCTCAGCCTTCAGGACACTGGGAATTATGTAGAAGCAAGACCAAAGACTAGACTATAGCTGGGGGAGGAAGGCTGTGCAAATGCTTTCTGTTTGAACACTTCAAAAGCCTTCTGTTGTAATCTCTCCAAATTAGATCTGTAGACTCATTGAAAAGTTAATCTTAAATTGAATTTCATAAGCTAGGAATACTGTTTTTGGTAAACTAGTGAAGCATACTAAAATTGAATTAAAAGAACTATTCCATTTCACTAGCTATTTAGGGAAAATGCAAGAAAACAAAGTTCTTAAATAAGAAATTACTCCTGGGTGCTTGATATGAGCCCGGTTTGTGTAAGTCTAGCTTTGTTAGAAACACTAAATCATGGTTGTGGATGGCTATGGCTTCATGCAGTGCTGATTCTGCAAGGTTTAGCTAATCAAAGGTGTTTTCTGAGTTATGTTTTAATGCATGTCCAAGAGACCCAGAATATACGTTGCATTAGCACAAAAAAGGGTTCCATAAGCCGTTTTCCTGCAGCTGTTACTCTCACAATTTTTTCCACATTATTAAGTTACTGCATTTTGCAGAATTTTGGCAAATTTTTACTTTCCCAGAATATTTAACCATCTTTTTATTTTCTCTTTAAACTGTGCTTTGTCTGCCCTTTATTCTACTGTTTAGATTTGCTTCAACAATGTTGTTGTTTTGGTTTTTTTTACAGAGGTGTACAAGGCATTTCAGTTAAATACTGTTAGCTTTATATGTAAGTGTAGTTTTCTGACATAATTTCTTTTCAATTAGGTGAAAATGAAATCCTTGAAACTCTATACAATATTGCAAGCAAGAACAAGATATGGAGGTCTTACATTGGCATGGGTTATTACAACTGCTCAGTGCCTCAGCCCATTGCACGGAATTTGTTGGAGAATGCAGGATGGTAATGTACCATATTTTATTTTTAAATGCATATGTATAAATATATGTTTGAAGTTTGTTTTCCGAAAAAGCAGAGACAAACATACCCCAACCTCTTTTTCTGACTAAGGCTTTCATATGTTGATACTAATGTGTAAGTGTAGGAACTGTGTAGTTCATGCTGAGGCTAGAGAGGAAAATGAATACTTCTGACTTTAGAAGATGCTTTTTTGGTAAAATATCTCATTGTTTTTTTGACTTCTATTTGCAGATCCTGTTTATTATGAACTAAACCAAGAATTTTTGTTTGTTTTAAGGAAGTATACGTTTTAGCTCCTGCAGAAAAGTAATTCTTTCCTTACTTCTGCCTGAATTTAAACCGTCTCTTTCCTGCACTGCTGTAGGCAATTTTGGGTGGAGGTATTTAAATACTATGCAATACTCTGATCATGGTTTTCTGATGAGGAAGTAAGAAGCCTTGAAAATGTTAAAGGCTTTTCTCTTGGTATTTCTTCCTTGATATTTTTTTGAAAAAAGACTTTCAAGAGTTTGAATGTGTATCTGTAAAGTATGTTCTTGTCTGGACAAATAATTCACTGATGCCTGAAAGCAGGTAGACAGCAATACTTGTTAATTCATTTATGAAGAGACTGAGAATATTGTACTTTGTTCTCGTGACACAGCTGACACTTCATTTTTTTGGGACAAGCAAAAGAATAGACCGGAATCTGAATGATACTGGTTTAATTTTTTTTCTTTTACTTAAAAAGGAAGATATTGTAATGTTTTAATACATTGGTTTATATCTTATGGACAGCATTAATCTAAGTAATAATGGCGTTTTGTCTCTTGATGAACTTCTCCTGACAAAGGCACTAAGGCTTGATTATAAATACTCGTTTAGCACTGGCATTTCTCTAAAGAATTGTAACTCAGAAATGATGCAACAGAAAAATGAAGTTTATTGTGGAGTCTCACTTTTCAACAGACTGAATGCCACTGATACTCTGCATTGTCTTATTTGGTTTAGAAGTTCCCTTATCTCTAGTCAGTGACATCCTTTTTTTTAGTGTATGAAAATAGTAACTTTCAACTTTATTACTAAGTAATTTTTATTTTAATAAAAGCAGTATTTAAAGGTTATCTGTATATATATAAAAATACCAACCGAACAAATTCAAATTAGTCAGTGTAAAAAGCCATTGTTACTTATCTGCTTTATTTTTTATACTTTGGGTTGCCATAAATTGGTCTATGTATCTGTAGACCTCCAAGTCTATGTATTTTTAGACTTGTCTGCTCTATGTGCATCTCAGACTTTTGAACTGATGAAAAAGTTGCACCATTTGCAATCAAGGAGTCTATTCAATACATCTATACAGACTTTAATTTGACTTTATCTCCGCTTACTTTTTGCAACATATGCACTCTAAATATTTCAGTACAGTGCTGCAAAACAAATAATCAGTTGCTAGAGGCAAAAATAAGAACAGGAAAAGGTAAGTGGAACAGAAGGAACTGCTTATTTTTAAATTCTAAGAATTGAGTTAATGTAACAACTGGGAAAGTCAATCCAGAAATCTGTTCTTGGAGTGTCCAGTAAAATAAAACCAGATGGCTGAAAGCTAAAATTTTAGATGGCTTAAGTGAAGGCTAAAATGTTTGTTGGGGAGAGGGTGTGTGTGTTTGCATGTGTGCAAAAGGAACTCTCCAGACTTTATGGAAACTGTTTAGAAAATCGAACCTCTGCTTCCAGGTTCTGAGAATGTAACACTCTCTGTGCTAACACACTTCACATTGCAGCTCCAAGGGAAATGCTGCAAGCTCAGACTTACTGTTCCTCATCAATTCTGCCTCCCTCATGTGAGCCGTAGTTTCTCATTGCTTGGCATTCATTAGAGCAAGTTTTTCGTTTGAATACAATGTAAGTTTTTAGAAGGTTGTTTGTAGAAGTCTGTAAACACGGAAGTGCTGCCTTCACAGTATTTAGGACACTTGGACTTGCTAGGAGGAGATCAGAAGCAAAGGTGTAGATTTCAGGAGGAAACTTATGAGAACAAAATGTATTTTTCGCTGGAACTGAGACTAATGACTCATACAGCTTTCTTTAGAAGATTACCAGAAAACTCCTCCCAAGTCTCAGATTCTGTTAAGAAAATACTCAACACTGTTGGAGTTTTGAAACTTTTTTAAGTATTTGGACAATGATCTGTAGTATCTCTGTTCACAATAAAAGCTGAATAGCTTCATTACTATGAGATAAGACTGTCTGACCAAAACTATGCATCAATAAGTGCCTGGGAAGTCAGATATTTTTCAGATAACTTTTTACCCAAAGAACACTTTAATCGAAAGTTAGAGAAAAAGCGGAGAGATTTCTGTTGTGGACCTGAAATGCTACAGTTAAAATTCTAGTCACCTGAATGAGGGATTTGACTTAGTCACAGAGGGTAGAGAATAAGTATCCCTTATTTTTGATACTTGATTTCCTTTGCTCTTGGTTACCGCCTGCTAACACTTCCTTGTTCCTAGCAATAACTACTATGAGTGGTATTTCTTGACACTTTTTGTTCTGTTTCTGGGTAGCCGATTTGAGTGATCTACTTTGAAGCAGTCATTGCAATGTCTACCTCTAATTATTTAAGTAATATCTTAGGAAGGTATGTTCTCATCAAGTAAGAAGTTGTGATCATTACTCACATCATAAGAAAGATAGTTTGTCTTTGAAGACAAAATAGAGAATTTTGCACCACATGAACAGCTACAACATTAACGTCTTTTAGCACAATTTGCAGCCAAAATAAATGTGAAGTATTGATTCTCTACTACTGTTTTTTCTTTTTTTCCCTACCTTTCTCATTTCTGTCAGTCCCTAATTAGTAATGGTTTAACAAAACAATGTTCTCGTTCGAATGATCAATAAAGCCAGTATATTAAGCTTTAATTAAAATCTTTTAACTGATTATTCTGGCAAGTACTATCCAATGAGTCTTAATTTTATTTTTCTTCTCTTGCCCTGAGTAATGTTTCTCTAATGCATTTCAACTAATTTCAATGCTTTAATTCTTATTAGTCTAATTCTAGTTCCCCCTGCAAGTTATAATGCCAGAAAGGCCTTTAGCTGAAATAAAAGGAGAAAGTAAGATTGTTAACTTCAAGTACAGAGGAGTTTCTTTTATTAAGCAGAAAAACTCATTGTTCATGCAAAGGAATTGGGAATAACGCTTTTTGTTGATGAGAACTGAGTGGGCAGGGGGAAAACATTCAGAAAACTAATCTTCTTACTCCCAGCTTATTTGACAAACTGAAAACTGGATTTAGCAGCCATGGAGAAAAAAAAATTACTATTGTGATGAGCAATGTTGCATGCAGTTCAGGACATGCTCTCACTTGTGAACTGTGCAGTCAAGTATAGGGTCATAAGTAGTTTAGTGTTAGACATAGCTAAAAAAGGAAGAAAAAAACTTCAATATTTGGGAAAATAATAAATATTTTTCTAATTGATATATAGCTATTTCTTTCTGTGACTGTACTGAGTGGTGTATTTGAGAAATTTGAGCAGATGTATCATTTAAATAGACAGGAAATATATTAGCATCATATATTACACTTTGAGTTCACCTATTGAGTATGTCCTTTATAGCTCTTCCGTTCTTTTCTTCAGGACTTTTTTCCTGTCTTCTCTCTTGCATTACTATTTCATTGCTCCTCTCATCTTGCTCTATACCACAGGTTCTGCAGCTTGTTCTTTAAAAGTCTTTGTTGCTCACCTTCTATTGACATGACTTGAGCTTCTAAATAAGTCATTCTCTCCTTTAGGATTATACCTTCACCTATAAACATTTTTCAAAAGTCTAGGGCTTACTACCACCCTTTCAGGAAAGAAACTGTTTTCTTCCATTGTTAGAAAATAGAGGCCACAAGTGTTCCCACTTACCACTTGTTTCTGGGCTGCTGCTCTGAAATCAAACTGGCATAAAGTCTGTCCTGAACCGCAGTAGAATTCAGTACTCAAATTTCCAGCAGCAAGAGGAGACTCTGATTGCTTTTCTTGCCTTTCATCCCTGGATCCATGCTGCTTTGTTTTTCTGGACTGTTATAATAGAGTCTTTCCCTTAGAGTGTTGCCTTTTCTAAGGAATTGCTTGTGTTGCCTCTAATGTTTTGTTCTGCAAGTGATGACAGCCAAAACTCACATCAGTCCCTCTTCCCCTCACTAACATATATGGGAAATGTCATTTCACAAGAAGCTGCGTATTTCTGAGCTTGATCCTGTGAAGTGCCAGTGCGTTTCCTCCCGTAAGAGTGCAGAAGACTTGGCAAATAAAGGGCTTCAGAAACAGTGTTGAAAGATGAAGGCAATACCTAGATATGATTGAACTACACATGCTTATTTGGATTATGTGACTTGACTCAGTTCTCCCAGACTCAGTGTCTACTTCCTTGTCCAAGATGCACTCACACCTCTGTTTTAAAAGCAATTTCTTTTTTCAAAACAGAGAAATAGAATTATTCTCCTATAAAAAGCCAAGTCAGTACCAGAAGAGAAAATATTCTCAGGCTTCCTGGACAGTAATAAATTACAACCATCTAAATACAACTGTTTTCTAACAAACTTAGTGAATTATGCTTTACAATTTATTTTTCTTATGACACAGTTCAGTTACATATTGACATTATTCTGTTAACACATTTATTCCTAGACTCAAACTCGGAATTCTTTTCTTACAGGGTTACCCAGTATACTCCTTACCAGCCTGAGGTCTCCCAGGGCAGGCTAGAGAGCCTGCTAAATTACCAGACTATGGTGTGCGACATCACGGGAATGGATGTGGCTAACGCATCTTTGCTGGATGAGGGGACAGCTGCTGCAGAAGCCATGCAATTATGTCACAGGTACTATGTTTAAATGTATAGTTAAATCACAGCAGGAAGGAATTGTGGAGTTTAAACAGCATCTCCTCTGTGTAGGCATGGATAGGTGAGTGGGCTGAAGTTGAGTGTGGCCTTTTCACTGTGAGCAGATCACTAAATAACTGTAGCTGTTAAGCCCCCAGAGATAGTGTTGATGTGAATGTTTAACTCAGACAGCCTTAAGAAATGTAAGGACCTAGAAACAAAGGAAAAGTCTGAAACAAGGAAGACTTGGGTGGAGGAGAGTCAAGTTAGAGAATACTTAAGCAAACTGGACTTGGACAAGTCTGTGGGCCTTGATGTGATACACCCATGAGTATTGAGGAAGCCACCTGATGTCATTGTGAGGCCACTCTTGTTTATCTCTGAAAAATCATGGTGACTGAGAGAGGTGCCTCAGCACTGGAGGAAAGCCAGATTTCACTACTATCTTCAGGAAAGGCAGGATTGAGGATGCAAGGAACTACTGCCTGGTTAGCCTCTCCTCAATCCCACGAAAATAATGGAACAGCTGCTACTCCTGGAAACCCTTTCCAGACATGTGAAGGTCAAGAGGGTGATCAGGAGTCACCAACATGGATTCACACAGGGGAAGTCATACTTGACCAGCCTGCTAACTTTCTACAGTTAAATGTCTGGCTTGGTAGGTGAGAGGAGAACAGTGGGTGTTGTCTACCTTGATGGTCTCCCTTAAATTCTCACAAGGAAGCTGAGGAAGTATGGGCTGGATGAGGTGAGACTGAGGTGGACTGAAAGCTGCTTGAATGGCTGGGCCCAGAGAGTGGTGATCAGTGACATGAAGTCTAGTTGGAGGCCAGTTGTTAGTGGCATACCCCAGGGGCAACACTGGGTACAATTTATAATCTGGATGATGGAGCCGAGCGTATCCTCAGCAAGCTTGCCGATAACGCAGAACTGGGAGGAGCAGCTGATGGAGCAGAGTTTTGCTGACATCCAGAGGGACCTTGACAGGCTGGAGAAATGGGCTGACAGGAACCTCATGAAGTTCAACAAGGGATGTGCAAAGTGCTGCATCTAGAGAGAAACGACCCCAGACATATGGGGTACATGATGGGTGCAGGCAGGCTGGAAAGCAGCTTTGCAGAAAAGTCCTTTAATGGTCCAGGGGGACACCAGGTTGAACACAAGCCAGCAATATGTTCTGGTGGCAAAAAAGGCAAATAGTATCCTGGGATGCAGTAGGAGGAGTGTTGCCAACAGGTCAACGGAGGTGATCCTTCCCCTCTCCTCAGCACTGGTGAAGCCACACCTGGAGTACTGTGCCCAGTTTTGGGCTCCCTAGTACAGGAGAGATACAGACATACTGGAGAGAGTCTGATTGCCCTGCCATTGGTACCAGTGCAGCTGCTGGCACCCAGACACACACCTGCTCCAGCTACTACCACCAGAGATACACAGAGCCCTGTGGCTATGGTGCTGTTCAGTTGCTGGCACTGAAGTCCACTCAGTCTGGCCGCTCCATTTGCTGCACCACGGGTGTATGGGATCCTAGGTGGTCCAACTCCAGCTGCTGGCACCCAGGCAGCCATATACACCCACCCCCCGTCCTGGAATACAGTCTCCTCACCCATGAAATGAGTCAGAAAGGAATTTGACAAGAAGAGAGGACAGACTGCACTGGTTGGGTGCACCTACATCAACCAGCAACTATTTATATATGACTGGCCCTGTTTACTCCCTTACCACTCTATTTTCTTACACTTGCTCCTCCCAGAATCACTTAGCTGTATCTCTTTTCCCCTAAACATCTCATAATAAGCCCTTGCAATCCCAGAATGCTCTTCCCCTGCACCCCATAATGTCTTCCTCGCAGGGGAGCCCAGACAGGGTGACTGGGTTAATTAATTAATTTTAGTTTCACTTGCCTTGGAACCTCTGTGCTCCTTTGTGCTTGTGGATTGGGCCTGTGATGGGCTGATATTTCTTGTGATGGGCCTGAGAGCAGCAAGGACAAGGTATTATTTGGTCTCCCCCGCCTGCCATTGCCACTCAGTAGGCTACAGAGGAGCTTTTATTGCACAGCCTAGAAGTCAGTGGCATGAATCTCTTTGGTCCATGAACACTGGAGTCCAAATTGTTTTTTTTTCCACTAGTGGTTAAAAGGCTTTTTAAAAAACAGTTAAGTGTGTCAGTCCCAAGCTGCTAAAAGTTAAACTGTTACTGGTATATCCAAATTTACTTTCAGAGATCTCTACTGGAGGATTTGAAAGGGATCTACAAATCAAATGAAATCTGAGAGATGATTGAAGATCAATGTGGGGCTGTATATCAGGAAGGAGATTACACAGCAGTAACTGTGTCGTAACTATTCAGTTGTTCAAAGCATCGATCTGACATAAAACCAAGTTTAGCAGAGAAAACTAGGCAGTTGTCTTAGTCTCCGTTTTCCTGCTTTGATGGCTTATGTTTGGTTATCCAGGGCAACACTGAAAATCTGTTTTAAAAACCATGGTTGTATTCCTTTAAAATAGAGCAGTGTGTGAGTGTGTCTGTGTGTGTAGGCATTTCTGCAGCTTCTTACATTGGCTCCTTGTTCTGTTTCATAGTCTATTTTAATTTTTGACATGTATGAATCACATTTTAGTGTCTAAAAGGAATGTTCTTAATTTAAATGGACCAGAATTTTCATTCAATCTTACATTTAATTTGGTTATGATCACCAACATTTACAACTGCCTTTAAACTTAGGAAAACTGACATTTAGAAGCAAATTAATTTTATTTCTGTGGAAAACAATATATTCTTGATACATAACTCTTCTTTTTTCCCTTTCTTTCTAACAGGCATAACAAAAGAAGGAAGTTCTATGTAGATGTCCGATGCCACCCTCAAACTATAGCAGTGGTCCAAACTAGAGCAAAGTAACATTTTTCTCCATTTTCCTTCATATCTTTTCATTTACATTGTATCCTTTTTCATCTTTGCCTCTTCACCATATACCTAATGTTTTTTTAATATGGGATTATACTTGCTTTGCAAATTAGAAACAAATTTGTTAACATTTGGCATTGCTTCTACTTTTCCATTCAAATACAACTGCAAAGTAATTAAAGATGTTTAAAAAGAGACTAAATGTTTGATACAAAGCAAATATTTAATTTTCCTGTTAAGTTGTTTCTGCAAATATATACATTTGGTTATTGAAATCAGTATGGTAATTTTTTTTAACTAGAAAATTAATTACCCTAGATAGTGAAACTTATCTTTTAATGAAAGCTGAGACCATTTTAAGTTTACAGTTTAAAGCAAACATGTTCTAAAAATATGACTTGATTCTCAAACATGCTAAAGCAGCAAAATGTTGATATCAAGTAGCTTATGCATCCTCGGCTCTGCTTTGCTCCATATTTCTGATGATGATATAAAATTAAATTATTATTCTGTACTGTATACCACTATCTCAATGTTTAGCACTGCAAAGCATGTTCAGCTCTCTGTATGTTCAAGAGAAAAGTCATATATAAGTCCATGAAAACATCATATTAAGTACCACTCCAAGGCAGGAAGTGGTTTGAATATGTTGTCTTCTTCATGTTTTTGTTTTCCAGTTATACGGGTGTTATTACTGAGCTGAAATTACCCTATGAGATGGATTTCAGTGGAAAGGATGTCAGTGGAGTGTTGTTTCAGTATCCAGACACTGAAGGGAATGTGGAAGACTTTTCTGAACTTGTTGAAAGAGCTCATCAGAATGGGGTAAAGTAAATTTTATTGTTCTCACAGATTTCAATCTGGCGCATCAAACAGCCATACTCATAGTTTGTATTCTGTTCAAATTTCACTTGCATGCACACACGATTCCTTCAGAAAAGGAGCTGACTGCTCTGTGCACTTCTGTTCTCAGACGCTCACCTGCTGTGCTACTGATCTTCTGGCTCTCTGTATTCTGAAGCCTCCTGGGGAGTTTGGGGTAGATGTTGTCCTGGGTAACTCCCAGAGATTTGGCGTGCCGCTCTGCTACGGGGGACCCCATGCAGCATTCTTTACTGTCAAGGAAAGTCTCGTGAGGATGATGCCGGGCAGAATGGTGGGCGTTACAAGGTAAGGGCTTCCTTGACGCTTGGTGTCTTCAGGGAAAATCAAAATAAAACACATTATGACCATCTTGCGCATCCTTTAGGAGTAACAGCTGACCATTATGGTGTAGCAAACACCTTTTTTCTTGAAAACTGAGAGAATATAAGTTGCCTTTAATTTTTAGGAAGCAAGCTGAAGAGCTGCATTTGTGTGGAATGAAGCTGTGAACTGTCTATAGTACTTGCCGCAATGTGAGTTGAAGAGTTAACGGAACAGCAGAGAAGATTAATTGTGATGGCAGGAGGCTTTGCAAGCTAACTTACTCAACTTATTCTGTACTGTTAGACATTTTTCTCTGACATTCAGTAATTAAAAACATGTGAAGAAGCAGAAAATTCAGTGAACCTCCTAGATAAACAAGAAGGAACTTAATCTAGTTAAAATTTTAGTCATACTTTAACAAAGCAGAGAAATAGTGTGCAAAATTTACCTCAGATTCTTGTTATTGGTGCCATATCTTGAATTTTGACAAGATGTCTGACTGGAAGTAGTAGAAATGCAAAGTAATTGTCACTGGAAAGACTGCATATCTTTGACGCAGAAGATATTCAGAAGTAATTCTGCCAAAATAACCAGTGTCATTAACAGTTATCAGTAAGCTTAGAAATACTTCATTTGTATAGTAATATTCCATCCAATATATTTTTAATCTTGTTGCATATGCCGAGGGTATCCTCAGGCTTAACTCATAGTTCTGAAATCTGATCCCCAATTCAGATTTAGATCAGAAGTCTGGTACAGTGTTTTACAGAAGAACAGTAGTTCTGTTTATCATGGTCATGTTACTGCTACTCTATGACTACATCTGGTTTAATATTTTTAATCTACTTTCATCTTTCTGCATCTCAAGAAAGTTGGAAAAGAAGATGTTAAAATGGAAAAAGCTGTGGTACTTACTGAATGCAGCTCTCTGCTGTGGATTTTTTTAAGTTTTGGATCACAGAATGATTGAGGGTGGAAGAGATCTTTGGAGGTCATCTAGTCCAACCCCACTGCTCAAGCAGGGTGACCTTGCGCCAGTAGCCCAGGACCATGTGCTGTCTTCTGAAGATCTCAGAGGAAGGAAACTCCACAGTTTCAATGGGCAACCTGTGCCAGTGCTCAGTCACCCTCTCAGTGAAAAAGTGTTTCCTACAGTTCAGTAGGAACCTCCCGTACTTCAGCCTGCACCCACTACCTCTGGTCCTGTCACTGGGCACTGCTGATAAAAGCTTGGCTTCATCGTCTTTGCACCCTCCCTTTAGGTATTTATGTACATTGATGAGGTTCTCCCTGAGCCTTCTCTTCTCCAGGCTGAACAGTCCCTCAGCCTTTTCTTGAAGGATAGATGCTGCAGTCCCTTCAACATCTTACTGGCACTTCACTGAGCTCTCTCCAATATGTCCATGTCTCTTTTGTACTGAGGAGCCCAGAACTGGATGCAGCACTTCCAGTGTGGCCTCACCAGTTCTGAGGAGGGCAGGGATCACTTCCCTTGACTTGTTGACAAAGCTTTGCCTAATGAAGCCCAGGATATCTCTTGACTTCTTTGTTGTGTGGGCACATTGCTGGCTGTTGTTCAACTTGGTGTCGCCCACGACCCTGAGGGTCTTTTCTGCCAAGCTGCTTCCCAGCTGGGTGGCCCCCAACACGTACTGGTGCATGAAGTTCTTCGCCAATTGCAGCACTTTGTACTTCCCCTTGTTGAACTTCATGAGGTTCCTGTCAGCTGATTTCTCCAGCCTGTCAAGGTCCCTCTGGATGGGCTGATGATAAACTAAGGTGTATGGTGAAAATCCTCAGACAACTGCTAGAGTAAAAGTGATTAGATATCTGATAACTGGTGCACAAATATTTGAGGCAAGTAGTCTAGCTATTCAAACCCCCACATGTGTACACATATATTTGTATAAATATGTTCATAGTTCGTCCATTTCTTTCTATGACTGTTCTGAAAGTTTTCACAGTTCTAAAAGATATTAGATTGGCTCTTACCTCTCCACTTTTAACATTTTAGGAACTCTACAAAAGGACCTCTGAAAGGATGGATTAGCCAGAGCCCTTTCGGTTATCTTGTACAACCTTGTTGGATGGGTTATTTTTATATATAAACTCAACATGGTCTTACTTGACATCATTAGAAAAGGTGCTGCCTTCTCAGTGTTTGTTCAAATTAAATTCTGTATTACTATTCTGTTAAAACAGTTGCAATAATCTGTGGCATTTTAAGGCAAATACCATGTTTTGGTGTAGTAGGCTTAGAAGACTCACTGTGTGCTCTACCTGATCAGACACATTTGCCAGCCATGATGTAAATAGATATCTAGAGATTTTAGCCTCACTCTCTGTTTGATATCACAGCTGTCCTGTCTTATGCTTTATTCTCTCTAGCACCTTTCTCTCTCTGAGCATAGATAACTAGTTTCGGGATAGCATGCATAGATCCCAATGTCTTAATTTACTGTAATTTTAAAGTAACAGAAGCAACATTTTCACTTGTAACTTAGAGATGCAAATGGAAAGGAAGTGTACCGACTTGCTTTGCAAACTCGAGAGCAGCATATCAGGAGGGATAAAGCTACCAGCAACATCTGCACAGCACAGGTAATTTGTCATGCTGTATTTTCAGTGGTAGAAAGGAACAAGTTAATCCGTAAGATTATAGTCCTAACATCACATTAGTTTGAGTCAGCTTTACTTTTGAGAGTTTTTGCTAGAAAAATGAAGAAAATTGAAATATTCTATATTTGTTTTGAGTCCTTTGCAAAGTCGAAGCCTGCTTGAAAAGAAGGTATTGGTATCTGATTCCTTCTAACCCTGAATTTATGCAGTGTCGTGAGTTCATCTGTCTCAGAGGATGAATGCCACTGAGTGGTGCTGTGTTTGTTATGGATGAGACAGAGTTCTTAATAAAATGGAAAGGAATTCTAATTATTTAGAAATAGCTCACTCAAGGTAAAAAAAAATTAAAATTCTAAAACTTCTTGTTCAAATTGTCACAACTTGTATTTTTGACTGTGATTTGATACAAAAACATTACATTGCCAAAGAGCAGTTTTCTTTACAAGAAAATACCATGATGAATAAGTAATTATCCAAAATAATTATCTTCAGCATGCCTCCACAGACCTTCAGCCAGACAAGTTCGTAATTTTTTCTGTTCCTATCAATGCTCTTCTCATGCTTCTTAATGTGCCAGATTTTGAAGAGGGATTTACTAATATTAGGATCAGCTTAATTACATAGTATTCATGAGATATTCCATAATTTTTTGTACCAATCTTAACAATGAATTTTCTATGAGACTAGTTTTACTTGAGAGTCTTCAAATGTCTTTGTTGCAGTTGTTCAATCTAAGTTCATGTTAATTGCTGACACAGTTATTTTTCAAAGGGCATTGAGTTGATAATCAGTGCTTACAGTTTCATAGAAGTATTTTGCCTTTCCTTTTGCCTGTTATTTTGTAGGCAATGTGTAATCAAGTATAACATTAGCTGAGTATATGTAGTTGTCCCTTAGTGCTAAAGAGACTTTCCACTAGACTAACATGAAGTAATCTTTGAATATAAAAATAACAACAATAATAACAACAACAATAATAATAAAGTCCTAACTGTGTTTGGATCCTAGGCTCTTCTAGCTAACATGGCAGCCATGTTTGGTGTATACCATGGGTCTGATGGATTAAGGCATATTGCAAGACGGGTACACAATGCTACTCTAATCTTGGCTGAAGGTGAGTAGTGTTTGCAGGAACTGTTCTTAAATCCTTACACCTTCTCAAATAATACATCTTAAAGAAACTTACGGGGTTTTTTGCCAACTAATACATGTTCTCTCAACTCGAGAATATTTTAATACAAATACAAATAGCTAATATTTTAGTGTACTTCTGATAATGACATCCAAAAATTAAATATGTGATATGAGCTTGCAAGCTTTACTTCTGTTTCTTTGGGAAACTAGCAGAAGTCTACACAGCAAGTCTCTAGATGATAAGATTCAAATGCTGTTTTCAAGCTACACACTCTGTACTTCTCTTACTGGGCCATCCTACTTTACACACAGAAATCTGCACAGAATAATAATAACAACGTAAATTAGTCATAAATGAGATTAAAGAAGTTGGAACATTTCAGTTAAGCTGGGTAGAGTATAATACTTGCTGTGAACACTGAAATCCCAAAGCTTAACAGCTGACCTAAAGCACAGAATCTGTAGCAGAAAATTATGATTGCAGCTAGACTATGTAGTCTGGTAGGTTTTTTCACTGGCAATGACTATGATTGTTGTCAGAACTGGAATGCTTGGAATTGAGGAATGATTGCTGCAATTATCCATGCTTTATTTGCCAGCTTAACTGGAGGACCTATTGCTACTGTGAACAGCACTAAGACTCTAAACTTTGTTATGGCAAGCTCTGTGATGGTTAATATTCATTTATATAATACATTTTTTCTTTCCAGCCTTGTGATTTTGTCTTCATTGCATTCATATACCAAATCTGCTACTGTATATATTACAAATTTGATGTATCAGAAGGATCTTCCTTAGAGTCAGTCTGCATTATTAATTAGGTCTGAATCTGATTTAGATGCATTTCATGCACAGTGACATTTCCCTAAAAAGCTGGTGATTTTGCTGCCCTGTTCATAAGGGGAACATTTTGCTTTATTATGTAAAATAATTTACTTACGAGGTTAGTAGTATTGTTATACAAATACTGTGTAAGCAAGCAATACAGTATGCAGCTAATGGAATTAACTTACTGTTTTTTATAGGTCTCAAGCGAGCTGGTCATAAACTACATCATGATCTGTTCTTTGATACCTTGACGATCACGTGTGGATGCTCAGTCAAAGAGATTTTGGACAGGGCAGCACTTAGAAAGATAAATTTTCGAATTTATAGTGATGGCAGAGTAAGCAACTCCCTAAACTTTTCATAGATTTTGTAGCATGACTTCTTCATTAAGTTTCTAGTCATTACATGTGCTAAACAGAACAAAATTATTTAAGACTTCTTGGAATTTGCTCAAATATGTAAGTCAATTATAAAGGTAATATAAAGAACGAAGTTGTTGAGTCATGTACTGAACTTACAGAAGTAATAATTGTATTTTCATTGTATGCCTATTTAAAAAGATTATATAATTTTTTCATGTTAAATATGCCACTAACAGCTAGAGTGGAGACACTCTCAAACTTAATTAAATTAAATTAAATGCAAAGTGACTTCCAGAATTCAAATCCTGTGGCAGTATTTAAAGACAGATTGAAATCTAAACCACAGTTTGATAGGCACTAAGGACCTTCGACAAAATCTTACATATTCTGTAACATAGGATGGGGATAGTGCAGGTGGTCTAGCAAAATGGACAGTTTTCCTATTAAGTGGAAAACAGAAACATTAGAAGTGAGGTCACAAGTCTTGAAGCTTGTGAGCCATCTGGCCTAGATGGTTTAGCAGGGGAAAGGTAGGAGTTGGAATGTTTTATGTAAGTAAAATAAATTTCGTTGTCTGTCAGATAAAATGAAGTGATATTTACATATTGTTGAGTACGATGATTTTTTTAAAAATTTTTTTTTCCTCCTGTGTTTCTGGAATATTTTTTATTGATCAGAACAAATATACTATGCCTCCAGAATTGAGAGTTTTGACTAATTACTGTTGCTTTTATCCATAGTTTGGTGTATCACTTGATGAAACTGTAAATGAGAAAGACCTGGATGACATATTGTGGATTTTTGGTTGTGAGTCTTCAGCTGTAAGTAGACAATAGATCATATGAATTAAGATATCTGAATGTTTTGGAAGTTTAGTGAAAAGCAAAACTGCTCTTGGGATGGTGGTTGTCTATATGATGACCATTTGTTAAATACTGAGAATTTCAGATCCTCTCTTAAAGAAAGAGGCAGTATGAGATAACAATGATGTATGTAACTGAGTAATGCTGTTTTCTAATTGTGACACTTGGTTCTTTTGATCAGCTTGAACATCTTACATTTAGGCTGTTACTTGTTTAGTGAGTGTTGGGATATGGTGGTCAGTTTTTTCTCTCCCATTGGAATTTTTGTTGCATGTCTTTAGTAATTAGCAGCAATACTTCCAAGATGAGGACTACTGAGAGATCTGTACCCAGTTTTAATATAATGCCGTTGTCATGTTAGATATATACAGGTATGTATATATAATGATGTTTGGTGGGGGGTTTTTTAACCTAAAGAGCTGATTAGATCTTGAGGTAACTTGGTAGTATAAGCTAGTTCTGCCTGAAATTTACTGTGAAAAGAAAAATTTCTGTTAAAATATTTGATTCCTTGTTTCTTTGTGTCAAAGGAACTAATTGCTGAGGGTATGGGCGAGGAAACCAAAGGCATCCTTAGTACCCCATTTAAGAGAACTTCCAAATTCTTGACACATCAGGTTTTCAACAGGTCTGTGAAATTGCTGTATATCTGATATTTTAATGGAATCTGAAAGTATCTCCTTTCAAAAATGGTACTGGAGTCAACTGAGGACAGTTCTGTAGCTGTATTCACACAGTCACTCCTTAGTCTGAAATAATCTGTTTAGTAGCATTTTTAGATATCTTTCACATGTCAAATGAGCAAAGTAATACTCATAGTCACACAGGGGATGTGTTTTTCCATTTATCTGCTACATTGTACAAGCTGTTATTATTTGAGGACATAGCATCAGCAGACTTACTGCAGCCGTTGTATTCCATATTTGCTGATAGCATTTCTGAATGAATGGTAGTACGTGGTTTTCGTCCATGTTGCTATTAGCAAGCATAAAGTACTGATTTGGAAAGAAGTACCTAGTATATATTAAAAATTATCCCCAATATTAATTCTTTTTTATGGCTTTTCCTATGTTAGAGCACAGATCAACCAGCTGGTGTAGCTAATCTTCTTGCCTTAATACCACATTTTGTGTTCTCCAGCTATCACTCTGAGACAAATATCGTGCGGTACATGAAACGATTAGAAAACAAAGATATTTCCCTTGTTCACAGCATGATTCCTTTGGTAGGTATTTACCAAAAAGAGAAAAAAAATAGGTGCTTACATACATGTTGATATATTTTAATAAATACTGACAAAAATGTGTTTGTATTTTTAGGGATCGTGCACAATGAAGCTCAATAGTTCTGCTGAACTTACAGTAAGTTGCACTGCCAAGTCCACCAGTAAACCATGCCCCTAAGTGCCACATCTACACATCTTTTACCTTTTCACATCTACACCTCCAGGGATGGTGACTCAACCACTTCCGGGGGGAGCCTGTTCCAATGCTTGACAACCTTTTCAGTGAAGAAATTTTTCCTAATATCTAAATTAAACCTCCCCTGGTGCAACTTGAGGCCATTTCCTCTTGTCCTGCCACTTGATACCTGGGAGAAGAGATCGACAGCCACCCCACTATGACCTCTTTTCAGGCAGTTGTAGGGAGCGATGAGGTCTCCCCTGAGCCTCCTTTCCTCCTAAACAATTGCAGTTTCCTCAGCCACCCCTCATAAGACTAAGAGCAGCTTTATTATCCTTCTCTGGACACACTTCAGCACCTCAATGTCTTTCTTGTAGTAAGGGGCTCAAAACTGAACACAGTATTTGAGGTGCAGCCTCACCAGTGCCAAGTACAGGGGCACAATCACTTCCCTACTGCTGGCCACACTATTTCTGGTAGAAGCCAGTATGCTATTGGACCCACTGCTGACTCACATTCAGTCTTCTGTCAACCAGCAACCCCAGATCCTTTCTGCCTGGCAGCTTTCCACCCACTCTTCCCCAAGCCTGTAACGTTGCATGGGGTTGTTGTGACCAAAGTGCAGGACCTATCGCTTGGCTTTGCTGAACTTCATACAATTGGCCTCAGCCCATCGATCCAGCCTGTCCAAGTCCCTCTGTAGAGCCTCCCTACCCTTAAGCAGATCAACATTCCCACCTAACTTGGTGTCATCTGCAAGCTTCCTCAGGGTGCATCTCATCCAGATCGTTGATGTTAAACAGAACTGGCCCTAACGCTTGAGCTCTGGGGAACACCACTCGTGACCGGCTGCCAACTGGATATAACTTCGTTTATCAGAATACTTTGGGCCTGACCATCCAGCAGGTGTTTTACCCAGTGAAGTGTATGCCCATCC